TAATTTGCGTGTCAGCAATTGCGCTTGATCTCACGCCATTACTGTCCAAGTCTGAAGCTAGGAGATTTCTCCTGAGTGAAGTCTAGACCTTTCAGAAGGATTGGATTTTCAGACTTCTCATAGTGCGTAGGAACAGGTTGTGAGAAAAAACTTTTGCAACTTTTTCTTTCTCATCATCTTTGAGTTCTTTATTTGTAAAACATAATGGAATCAAGGTTTGATCTAAATACCATGCATGTCTCTCCATTGAATTCAATATTTCTTTAATTCCCCCTAGTAGATTCAGGGGCCATTCTAGAAAAAAAATTTGGGCAGCAGTTCCTCTCTTGTCACAGAGAAATTTAATGGTAAAAAAAAAAAAGGGTCCTCAAATTTTAATTTGGGCGACGTCCAGATTGGCGCCCAAATACAGTCAACGCTGTCGAAAATGGTCTAGAATATCCCCTGATATTAGCTCCTGGATCATAACATTCTACCCAACTTTTATACTAGACCATCTGCCAGTCTGCTTTTATATCTTGAAAAAGCGCAGAGGAACGCACAAACCACACAATATAAATTATAGAAATAAATTCTGCCATTTTACTGATTTCTTTTTGTAAACTAGCAATTAGTAGGGAACTGATTACTTAAAACATGAACTTTAAGATAATATATGCCATAAAACATGCATGGGAAACTGATCCCGGAGCATAAACATTAAAGCTTACATCTAGACATAAGTAGTTAAGTGTAAGTTTTACTAGTTCTATATAATCACCACTTGGAAATATTAAATTGGCAAGTGCATATTTTCAAAATTGAACAGTTTCTTAAATCTGTTTTTCTAGATATGTTCCTTTAACTGCAACTTTGTCAAACTTTTTAAACTTTGATTTATCCATAGTTTCCTTTGTTCCATTCCAATTAGCTTAGAGAACCTTGAACATCAGATTTTCAGGAGCATAAGTTTTACCAATGTTAAATTTTTCCAAAAATGTTTACAGTGAAATATTTACAGCTCGTAAACATATCTTCAACATGCAAGCTGTAATATAGTTGAACCCTTTGTTTGACAGAACCTAATGTTTGTGTCGGAATATTTTCCTGTAATAGTTGCAGTTGTGCCTAAGCACATATTCTTTATATAAGTTCCTAGCTTATATTCATCCAAAACATTTACCAAAGTATCAAAATGAGATATTCTAGCTTCATGCTTTATTGGCAGAATGCCAAGAAGCTTTAAACCGCCATTGATATTTACAAGAACAGCAAAACGATCTCTTTTTTGTTTTGTACAGTTAGTAATATCCTACAAAATTTTTCTATCAAAGTGTGCGATTATTGGAAAGTTACTTTGCCTTGCAGCTTTTATTATATCTTTTTGATATTTAGCTTCATTTGAACTTAATACTTTCTTTTTTGCATGTCTGATTGTGGATTCAGAAAGCAAAAAACGTGTCAAACGGTTCCCAGAAGTAACTATTATGTCAGAGAGCAAGTGCATCATATATCTAGATAAAAAAATTTCAGAAACACCTGTAATTGCAACTTCTTTTGCAAATTTTTTAGGTAATACTGTTGAAGCACTAGCACCTAATTTAATTTTGTTTGCTGAACAGTCGGAATTCTGACAGGAAGAGACCTTACTTTGTTCTGATGATAAAACTCAGCTTTTTCAGTTTAATCCTCTTCTCACTCAATAAATGTTAAATATCATCTTCTTTCTTCTACCTTTTTCATTTTTTGGCAATATGCTAAACCCTTTGAACCAAGTGTCATTTTACATTTCATCATTTGATCTTTTAAAAATTACTTATCTGAATTGTATGAATCTAGGTTTTATCCATGTTTCTCTTTTAAATAGAGCAAATATCAGGTTTTCTAATCAAAAAAACTTTCTAAGAATTTTTTTAAAATGTTTCTAGCTAATTCAGCTGCCTTTTTTATTTATTCATTTTTTCAACATTGCCCATTTTTCAACTAGATCATTTAATAGCTTCCTTGAACACATAATATTCATTAAATTTTTTTCTAATTGCTTTAAATTTTTTTAATGTAGCCTAATATCAGAAACAGGGTGAAAAGAGTCAAGTTAACAAATTAATAAAAACAAAATTCAAATACAGTAAAAAAAATTATTATTTTATATTATTTAGCAAACTTAATATGCTTGTCATGAAATATGCCACCATCATATCCTGCACCAATCCACAGTTTCTTTATTGCAAAAAGGATGTAGTTATGAGGACATATGGCTTGTTCAGGGCAAGTTTAGTTTATTCATTGTTTAATTATTATAATAATGCACGATAAAAATATTAAAATGCCATCGGTTGGAAAATCGGTAAAAGAGGCCAATGCTGATACCTATTGTACAAAAAGTGGCTGATTAAGTCGATGCCGATAATTCAGTACATCACTAATATATATATATATATATATATATATATATATATATATATATATATATGTATATATATATATATATATATATATATATATATATATACATATATAT